ATAAAAAAAAAATTTGAATGGCAGTGTGTATATATATAGGAAACCTCATTGTTGATCATAGTGCTAGTCGACATGTTCACAAGCTTACGATGACAGATTAGAGAGACCTGAACGACATTTTTATAACTCCAGTAGCGATAAGGATGTGATTTTTGTGTTATTTATGTCTCCGTCTCAGTGCTGAACTGAAATCTGAGCGTTGATTTAGTGGAGTATAAACTCCTTTTCTTCTCTGCCGTTTTCCTCCTCCATAGTTCACTTGTACGCTCAATTATTTTCCTCAAATCTTTCTCAAGTGGTGCCATCGTACAAAGCTCCCAATTTATGTTTAAACAAGCTATAGGGACGACTGACTGAAGGGTCAAAGTAAGCATATTGAATAAAAATAGAAAAGAAGCAATTTACAAATACTGGCACTGGCACATACATGAGGTGAGTACTGTAATTCAAAGTGTCCAGAGCAACTCTCGCTATTCATCTGGAAAATAAATCCCCGTCTCATTTCCGACTGCTTTAATCTTGTTGAGAAAGGTTTTATTTTTGTAATGGCTCGGTAATAGTGACGGGAAGTGAATTTGTTCTTTTGTTCGAGAGTAGTGCATTTCATAAAACCCATCAAACAGCGAGACGAGAGCATTGTTTGAAATCTCTCTGTGTGCGCAGCCGAGGATTTCAACCTCTTGAAATGTCTTACTTTGTTGTAGAGCAAGTTAACACCCACATTCCTCACAAAGACCTGCCTGTGAGAGGAGCGATATATATAAATATATATATATCCGAAAGTGGAACATGAAAGAAGAGTAATAAATGTATTAACAAGTGGATGTACAGAGGCAAGGAGAAAGCTGAACCTCTGTATTCCCAAGGTAATATTTCCCGGCGCTACAGCCACAGTCAAAAATAAATAAATAATGAAAAGCTCATCCTCAGATGATTGCAAATATGCATTTGGTGTTTAGTAGGTGATTAATGGAGCTAAACCAATATGTACCACCAAAAATAAAACGTAAGGCTGATATTAAAATTCTCATCACATGCATGTGTTTTAATGGACGCAGTCAAAGACATGCATTTAATATGTGAAGAAGGACTTCAGACGCCTTCATTTACGAACGTTATTCTGACATTTGTCCTATACATTAGCAATTGCAAACACACTTTTTTTATTGACTTTGCACCAGAAAGGCAGCAAATCGCAGTGTGTGAAACGTAATTTGCCTGCAAAGTGAGGATCTGTTGAAAAAATTACTTTTGATTTGGATGTCAGATGTCACTTGCAACGGCATAATTGCTCCAAATAGTTTTATTTTGTACATTTGCATGCAGCAATTTTGCACTTATGCTTGCACACTGTGGAGACCTGCTTTTGAAAACTGATTAAGAGAGTCTAGATAAAAAGTCAGTGTCGGACAGTGGACTGTGATAATAATTAAATGGATTTATTGCAAGCAATAAAGTCTTAAACATAGGTGTTGCGTTGCTGGTCAGTTGATAATCGTGCTAGAACTGACATCTGTCTAGGTTTGCAGCACTGTGCTTTATTAATGGGCTTGCTGGCATGTCTGCCATGTTCTTGCCAGCTTTCTTTGTCTTCAGCCTTTCTTAGTCATTAACTCGCGGGCCTGACAGCCTCGCCAGCCAAAGCAGCGATCCCTTTGACTAAAACCTTGTAAATTAACACAATTAGCTCAGCATCATCCTGCTAATTAGCTCCCTCTCTGTGTGTGTGTGTGTGTGTGTGTGTGTGTGTGTGTGTGTGGTGTCTGGCCAGGCTGCTGGGGGATTCAGGCGAGGGAAAAGCACATGCCCATCTTCTATTGTGGAGAAAGTACTCTGATATACACACACAATACACTGATGGAGTATCAGAGGGGGTTTATTTATAGAGGCAGAGAGTAGACATCATACAGTAGATGCCGAAATACAACTAGGGCAGGGTGATATACTGAATATTATGTTATATTTGTGATGATTTTTTTGGTAACACAAAATTAAGTGATATTGAGAATAGTGCTGTGATTTTATTTTGTGTGTAAGAGTATGTAATTAGACTAGTTTCATAATCCTTTATTGCCTCATTCAGAAGAATTTAACTTTTTATTATAACAGCATTTATGAAACCTAGGGATGCACCGATATGAAAATTTTTGCCGATAAACTTGAAAGCCGATAACCGATATTTCGGCCGATAAACTGAAATCCAAATTTTTATCTAATTTTGAGAGCCTGATTACAAAAACAAAAGTCTCGCAATTAAATCCATGTCGCGCACAATTATATTGATGTTCTCATTATAGTGTTGTATAGCCGATATGACAGATTTGCGTTGCACATGTTGTCCCGAACCAGATTTTCATTTTTTTGACGAGATTTCAATCATATTTCAAGAAATTCAAAAACATAAACAGTGCTCAACAAGTGTCTCAGCTGAAGGGAATAATACATTATTTATCGGCTTTAATATATCGGCCACATTTTCTTACCAGGCCGATAACGATAACATTAAAAATGAACATATATCGGCCGATGCCGATATATCGTGCATCCCTAATGAAACCTGTTCAAACTCAACTTCAATGAATCAAAATTATTCATTTGTGTCGTTGCTCAAAAATGTTAATGGATGCAATGCATCATCTTTCGGTCACACTTTAGTTTAGGGTCAATTTTTCACTATTAACTATAACTTTTGCCTCAATAAACTAACTACTGCTTATAAGGAATAAAAGATGTAGAATATAGTCATGCAGAATATGTGCTTATAAACTAGTACTAATATACAGCCTATAATATCCTAGTCATATCCATGCTAATAAGCAACTAGTTTATAGTGAGAATTGTTACCCATCTTTCACACCGGTATATTAAAGTATTTTCTTTTACTAAATGTTGTTTGTGGATAAACATGATTGCTTTTAACAATATTTTGCTTTATGCATTTAATTAATGTTATTGTCAAAATCGTGGTTCGTTTGAGAGAAAAAACAAAACAGTTTGGACCAAATATCAAGATATACAGCTCTTTGAAATCAGGAAAATTAATGCAAAGCTATATTGTGGTCTTACAGATGAAGGATTTATCTTTTATTTGTGGTGCACATGCTATCTTTGTTTATTATGTCTTGGCTTTAGCAATTGAGTAATAAAAAAGGTTCAGTCTATATGTAATTTGACAGACTTTAAAGATCAAGGTACATGGCTAAAAGCTCGTAAACGGCATCGTTTTCTGTGACATCTCCTTTCCTTTTTGTGCCGTGAATAGTGTTTGTGAGTGCTTAGGCCCAGTAAGCTCAGATAAGCGGGAGGTGTGTGCACAATAACACGCCTGCTGGACGCTGCGGCCGAGCGCTGTTGTCATCAGAAGTCTATCTACACTCGCGCGCGACCACCCCCGTCATCCCGTCGGCTCTTGAGTAAATGTCTCTTTGATAATACCATGCTGTGTCTAAGATGACAGCGTATGTAACTGCTTGTGTTTGCAGATGGAGTTTGGGATTAAACTTGATGGTGGCTTTTGAGCCCTGGAGCCAATAAAAGACAGTGGCTGTGGAGAGAAAAGACAGTGAGAAAGAGAGAGGCAGAACCCAGAGCGTCAGAGTAAAAGGAAAAGAGAGAAAAGGGAGCATTAGAGCGACTGAGAGGAGAGGGAGGCAGGCATGTTTTTTTTCCCCCCTTTCCAGTTCTCTGTGCTCCGGGAGGCGGGCGGCAGACAGAAAGCTGTTGTAATTCATGCTGTGCTGCGAGTTTGTGTGATGAAAGCAGTAGAGCGCTGCCTGGGAGATTGCTTTGCTGCACTCCTCCAAGCAGATTTGAAACTGTCTGGGACTGCTTTAGATGAGAGTTGGATTATAGAGTGACCTGCGATGTCTGTGTCACTCGGCTGTGTGCAGGGTGCATTATACTGTGCTAACCAGGTGTTGGAGGCCCAAATCTGCACTGTTCCTGAGATACCGACTGTCAGCAGTGCCTGCGATATGAAGCCAGGACTCTTCAAGAGCTGGATGGGGGGAAATGGAAATAATATTTTATGGTTGTTGTTGCGGTTTTGTGTGCATTTCATTCTTTTCAATGCCAGTTGCTTATTGGATCTTTGAGTCTGATGTGACAAAAAGAAAACCCTGGGATTCACGAATGGTGGTTGTCTGATGTGTTTTTAATGTCCAGTACTTTTTTTCTGTGTTGTATAATGTACACAACATTTTAGTTTGTGCAATTTGAAAGCCGATTATATGCATGAAAAATGTCTTTTTTTATATATATTTTTGAACTATTGATTTATAGAAAATAAAAAAGGGTATTCCTAAAACCGTATTCTGGACAAATGTGGGCAAAATGGTTTTGATTTATTTAAAAAAAAAAATATTCCCTTGATCCGAGCGTTACAAGACTTGGCTACTTTTCCTAAGTTTGCCTCCTGAACACACATTTTTTTTGACTCAATTGTACAATGTTAAGTGGGTGAAAAAAAAAACTCCTTAATCTTGTATTTGGGTCAACCCATAGAAATGAATGGGGAAAACTGTAATTTAGAATAAGCCAAAATAAGACATCAGGTGACAGCAAAGTCACTTCATCTTTAGGTTTTAGCTCTAAGAACTTATTGGAGTGATATATTAATGTAGTTAAAAAAATAAGCATAATTTACATAAAAAATATGGTACTTTTTGAAGTAAATAAAATCAAAAATACCCCCAAAATAAAAAACCCCACCATAAATGGATAGACAAAACTTTATCGAAGACAGTGATATAACATTTATAATAAATAAAAAGTCCTCTGTGCCCACATTTGTCTACTATTACAGGATTAAGGGCTATAAAGTGAATACGGTTTGAGGGCTACCTAGCCACGTGACTACTTCCAAAGCAAACGTCTCAAAAACCCAAATATTGGCAGATTAACCAACATGGCATCACGAAATTAATCAATCTCTATTCATAAGGGCTGTTTATCAAGTTTCTAACACCTGTTTGTTTTTTGTTTGCTGATTGTTTAGGCTTAAAGATGCAGTGGACGCCAGAGCATGCGCAGTGGGCCGAGCAACATTTCGACATCTCATCCACCACACGTTCCCCCGCACATAAAGCAGAGGCGTATCGTGGACACCTGCAGCGGACCTATCAGTATGCCTGGGCCAATGACGATATATCCGCTTTGACGGCCTCCAACCTTCTGAAAAAGTACGCAGAGAAGTATTCTGGTATCCTGGAGGGTCCCAGTGAGCGGGCGCTCCTCTGCTCATACTCAGAGAGTGCCCATGGACTCCTGAATGGACGCAAGTCGGAGAGCGAAGCATGGCAGGAGGGGATCTACCCAATGAGCTGTGCCGCAGATGTGATTTCTGCTAGTAAGACTGGCATGACGCCCGCCCTGCCTCCTCCAGATGTGACGGCAAGTGTTGGCAGCTCCACGGGAGTGAGCGAGTCCAGCTACTCCAGCAGTAATTGTGGGAATCATGCGTCTACTGCACTCCACTCGGGTATCCCCTCTCAGGAATTCGCTAGCAGTTACAATGGCTCGTACTTGCATTCCACTTACAGCGGCGGGCAAAGCACACCAGCTCTCCCGTCCCCACATCCCTCACCTTTGCACAGCGCTGGGCTCCTTCAGCCTCCACCCCCGCCACCTCCAACCCTGGTGCCCAGCTACAACGCAAGTTCCCCCAATCTGTCCAGTTACAATTACCCTCCAGCAGGGTATCCCCCACAGACTGCTGTTCCCCCAGGCTACAGCCCAGGAGGAGCACCCCCTCCATCAGCTTACTTGCCCTCAGGCATTGCTGCCCCCACTCCCCTACCTCCTTCCACCCTTCCCGGTTACTCCTACCAGTCCCACAACCATGGGCCAATTGCACCAACCCCTTTGAATGGCAGCTCGGCTAACACACTGAAAAGAAAAGCATTTTACATGACGGGCCAGGGAGATATGGACTCCAGTTATGGAAATTTCAACTACAGCCAGCAGCGTTCTTCTCAAAGCCCCATGTACAGAATGCCAGACAACAGTCTTGTGGACTCAACCAGAGGGAATGGATTTGACAGGAATGCTGACACGTCATCTTTGGCGTTTAAGCCCACAAAGCAGTCAATGCCACCGGATCAGCAGCGAAAGTTTGGCAGTCAGTCCGGCAGGGCGCTAACCCCTCCTTCATACGGATCCTCCAAAGGCTCCTTGGGATCCCTGCGGTCAGGCGAGTCATTTGGAAAGTTTGGTTCCCCCGTTTTGAGTGACCATGGTGACGACAGCAGACAGCATCTCCCCCATTCCATGGGCACGACAACTTCATCCAGCCACCCTGCTGAGGAGCAGTTAAAAAACAGCGATGCTAGTCTGGTAGAGATGGTCACCACTGAGATTCTGCAGCAGACGCCCCCTGTGGACTGGAGTGACATTGCTGGACTGGAGATGGCGAAAGCCACCATCAAAGATGAGGTCCTGTGGCCTATTCTGAGGCCAGACATGTTCAGCGGACTGGCCCCATTACCTCGCAGCATCCTTCTCTTTGGACCTCAGGGCACGGGTCGGACTCTTCTAGGTCGGTGTATGGCCAGTCAGCTTGGCGCTACTTTCCTCCTGCTTAGTGGCTCTGCACTGGTCACAAAGTGGCTGGGAGAGGGCGAGAAGATCGTCCAGGCCTCATTCCTTGTCGCTCGCTGCCGGCAGCCTTCGGTGGTCTTCATCAGCGACGTAGATCTGCTGTTGTCCGCCCAGTTGAGCGAAGAAAGCCCGGTGAACCGAATCAAGAGCGAACTCCTCCTCCAGCTTGATGGAGTTCTAAGCTCACCAGAGGAACATGTTCTAGTGGTGTGTTCCACCAGCAAACCTGAAGAGATTGACGAGTCTCTGCGAAGGTACTTTGTCAAGCGGTTGCTCGTCCCCTTACCGGATGCCACTGCGCGACATCAGATAATCAGCCAGCTGATCTCACAGCACAACTACTGCCTCAGCGACAAAGAGGTTGCCCTGCTTGTTCAGCGGACAGACGGCTTTTCCGGGCTGGATGTGGTCCGACTTTGCCAAGAGGCCATGGTCGGTCCTCTCCACGGCTTGTCCGGTGCAGACATTTCCGGAATGATGCCGGGTCAGATGAGGCCGGTATCATACCAAGACTTTGAGAATGTGTTTTGCAAAATCCAGCCCAGCATATCACAGAAAGAACTTGATACATACACTGAATGGAATAAGATGTTTGGCTGTAGTCAGTAAAGACAAGAGCGAGGGCATAACTAAATCGGTGGGGTGACCTCCCCTACTCTAAAAGGGGATACAATTCAGAATTCTTTGGGTGACACATGCAGTTAAACAGTGTGGTTATTACAAATGTAGATGACCCCTAAAGAAGAACCTGAAGGACGGTCAGATAGAGTTGAATGATGCATGACTGTACTTAAGTCAAGGTCTGGCCCTTTGCACATAATCCAGACAGAGAAATACTGTTTTCTGGGCTCAGTACTGCAGACGCAGAGCTCCACTTACCGAGGGGGCTCTGTAAGTGAGGACAAACTTCTTTGTGTGTAAATATCATTCTGCTGTTTTTGAGATTATGTTGCTATGAAGTGCCTGAAGTGGTACTTTATTGATTTGGATTTGGATTTGTTTGCCTCACCATCTCATTGGTGGCATGTGCTAATATAGAGAGCTTTAACATGAAACTAAAACAGATATGTTCTGCTTTTTGTTCTTTTCAACACTTCTTTCAAAAGAACAACAGTATTCCTCAATCAAGTCTGACCTGTAGACCCCTGGAAGGGCAGGAGAAGGTCCATGTTGTACTTTGAATCTGGATCCTAATTTATGAAATTCATTTGTGTTAGATTTTCTTCAAAAACTCAGGAAAGTGATTTGTGATTTGTACAGTACCTCAAAAAAGATTATGAGATAGCACTACATACTGCTGACAACATTGGGTTTGGTTTCTAATTTCTAACTCTAGGTTTACCTCAACCAATTAAAAAATGAAAAGGATATGACTATGAATGTAACCAGAACGTTTCTGGGTTGTTTGGAAGAAAAATTTGAGGAGTTTCTTTTTCTTCCGTTATATTCTTATTGTTCTTACTAAATTCCTTTGCGGATATTTCTTCAAGTTTCGAAGGCAGAATTGCTCCCTGCATAGCACAGTTCAGACTCTACAATGAACGTTTGAGTCCGAGATGGGCGGTGTCTTCTTGTGTAGATAAGGTTTGTCTGAAACCACGAGTATGCAGTAGACGTCAACATTTGCGTGTTTGTCTCCTCTCTGCAGAATAGACAGAAACGTTGGGGTGAACCAAAACTTTACAAAGAGGCTACTAGATTCTTGAAGTGGAAACATTTTCACGTTTTTCGTAACGCGTTTCATTTTTGTTTCGGACTCTGTCCTGCTGCTGTGTGGTGTTGGTGTAAAGATATCTGAAGGATCATGTGTACCCCGCATTCTGTTCTACCTCAGTTTAGCACTATTTTCTCTGCAACTAGAACAGAAAGATGAGAGCTTGGTGTCTTTAACCTCTTTAGGTTTGCTCCACTCTGAAGCCTCCATAAAGAACAAGCTGCCTTTTTGCCCCCCCCAAAAAAAGATTTGTGTCTCACTACCTGTGCAATTTTTTGCTTAGAGTGCCCAGTTGTCTCTAAAAACACTTATTGATGGGGTCTCTATGGGGCCACGTTACCTAAAGCCAGAAACATATTCTACGCAGGTACGCAAGCACTTCTAGTTAGAAGACTTTAAGCATTGTTGCATTACGAAAAGCGTCAGATCGCAATTTATAACGCAATGCAAGCAGGCTAAAGCAGGCATTACTATTTTGTTTATACATTGAGTTTTCTTTTTCAGGTCAACTACTATTATAGCAAAGCAACCGTTTATTTATTAGCAAGTCCACCCAGTTTAACGGCACAGACATTTAAAAGAAACTATCGCCCCCTTGAGTATGGAGGTTTGCTATAACCACAATATTACATACAACAGGACCATGCTTTGGCTAAGCGTTGCCATTTGTGCACTTGCTTACAGTATGCTTTTGGCTCAAGGTAGCACAGGATGTTGGTAACCATAAGACGAAACCTTGTGTTTGAATGTATTTTTTTGATGTTTACTTTCTCTGATCATTTGAGTCAGCTTTTTTCTTTTGTCTAGCACTAGAGAGTTGGTGAAGCAATGTGTTCCCTCTGTCAATTTTCTCTGCCTTTATATCATATGTCTCAAATGTTGGGGAGAAAGCACACTCTGTTTTGACTTTTTTTTTTTTTTTTTGGTCCACTGCAGTGTAATTTGACACCATTTAAAGGTGCTTATTTAGCGGTTGGAGGCACCAAACCTCCAATACATGTGTGTATATATATGACATATCGTTGAAGAAATATCTGTTTGCTTTTTTGACAGACATCCAGATAGTCTTTTCAGTAGCTGTGAGACACCACTTACTTCACAATGTTCGTAAAGTGATATGTACGCCCAAAGGACTACGATTTCTAGCCTTGTTTTGTCGTCTGAAGTGGAAGCCTTTTTTTTTTCTTTAGGGGTATTTTCATTCTTTCTTGTTTTTGTTTTGTGTTGTTTTGAAGAAAAAGTTACTATGTGCAATTTGTCAAATGCACTTTTAATGTTTTGTGTTAAAGCCGATCATACTTAATTGTCCTCCTTCAAAACCAAAGCGAACAAAACTATTTAAGATCCACAACTCTAAGATCAAATATTCAGATCCATAAGATCTGAATTCATCCACACATTTACACGTTTGGAGAAATTTGTATGGAACTTCGCATAGGTTAAACCTGTGATATCCTCAAAGTATTGCTCTGTTTTGTTGAAAATGATCGTACTCTGGATTTCAAAGCCAAATAGCACTGATAAACAAAACCCACATTAACCCTGAAGAGGAATGATCTTATAGTGCTACTGCTGGCGGTGTTGTCAGGGTTGGGGCTAACGCTAATGTTTGAAGCTTGAAACAAAACTGATTTATTTTTGAAAGCTCTTTATAATTGGTTAAAGGAATGTTACCGACAGCATTGGTGTATGACTCGTCACTTGTTTTCTATTTTATTATTGTTTTTAAACACCAGATCACATTTAAAAGTGCAGTGGGCCAATTATTAAAATACGTTTATTTTTATTATAGCCAGAAGTCTTTACATGTTACCGTAGCGTGATTAAAACTTTTTGCATCCAATTTTTCAACTTCAGTGAAAATGTACAGTAAAGCTGGTAACTTTACTCCCAAAAGTTGTGATAATCAAGCATTAATCCACTACTTTTAATACAGCAAGTTAATTCATGCGATTGCTGTAATAAAAAAGCTTTTAAACCCTCCAAAAACTCATTACCTGTTTACTTCCATTGAAAATGTTGCTGTAACTTTTACTGTAAATTTGAAAAGTGAGGGATTAGTCCAAATTATATTCTGAGGTAATCAATATTATGCCACAAATGCTGTCGATAGAGCTTAGCTTGTATTGAACCGGAACATTCCTTTAATTGATTGCAAAATAGAAAGAAATGTGGGAACATCCAAAAAGTACAATATGTTTTAAAGCACATCTCCTATGTATATATAAATCAAAATATCACTCGATTTTAGTTTCTTTGTGTTGGTTTGCTTTTATAAATGTTTCTTTCACCGATATGTAACTGTCATCAGTGTTTGTTTTTCAACCATGATTCTTTATGACCATTTCTACCTCATTGCTACATATTGACATGTAGTACCTATGTTCTGTCTTTTTTTGAATGTCACACATTTGTATAAAAGAAAATAAAAAAGAAAGAAAAACGTATAAAAAATGTAAAAGAACAAAAAAAAATCAATAACTAAAAAAAGGCTTGTTCGCAGTCTACCTCAGAAAGACTGTCTGTCCGTACACTGAGCAGTGGAGTAGCTGCACATACTGAAAAGACACGCATTAGGCAGAGACGATGCACACTGACCACATGAACTCGGACCATTCGTTACGCCGCCGTGATCGGGGATATTGTGGACTGTATAGGTCTTCTCCAAGGTTTTCAATTGAAGTAAATCGCTTTCCCCCCCCACCTTGTGAATTGTAGTGTGCATGTGGATGTGTGTGCACTTATTATGAAGTGTGTAAGTGTGCATTTTTATATATGAAAATTCGATATGAAATGTAGGTACATTTCATATACCATATTTGTACATTAGATACACTTGCACATTTGTGTACTTAATGTACATTTGTTATTAGTATAACATTTTGAAACGCACCACATACATGTTAATATGTGTGTGTATGTACAAAATTGCCATAATTACATTCAACGTAAATGTATTTTCATGTATGCATAGGGGCAAAGGACAATAAAAGATCATTCAAATGCTTTTGAAACGTCGTGTTTTCTTTTTCTTTTCTGTTGCTTTCCTCGTGCATCACAATTTTAGACTTCACCGTGAACTGTAAATCTGTTTTGAAATGGTTCATTGAAAGATGTGTTTGAGAGACCTATACACTGCACAATATATCAAAGTATTTTTTTTTCTTTTGTTTAACGAGAGCTTCTACGATGAAATGACATTTTAACAGGGCACCAGTTTAGACATCCAATCAGATCGCATTCATTTTTGCATTTATTTATGGTTTTCTTTCTTCTTCATTGTGTGAATGTGCAAATGTATAAATGCTAATGGATTTTTCAGGTGCCAGCCTGTCTAATCTAATATCTGTTCAAAACTGTTAACCCCCTTAAATGGGAGGAAATTTGAATATTTCACTCTTAATGAGCTGTAAATCCAGCTTGAATTATTTGATAATTTCCAGATTTCAGATGTTTTTCTGTAAAGTTTGCACTGTGGAACGTGCTGTATGAATAAAATGTGCTTTCTATAACAATGTAAAGCTATGGTAGGCAATGTTTTTCCAAAACAAAACATTGAAACTCCTCACATCCTGATGGTAATTGTAAAAATGGTCTAAATAAATATTCAATAATGTATACCTTCTGTTATAAGTCTCAAGACCAAAAATTGTCCAGTTGCGTTCAGATTGATTTCAATGTTCGTGGTTCTGCAGAGTTGTACAAACAAACAGCAGCTGCCTTCTACAGCTTCTCCTGAACCAAAACCACGAGCTTGCTGCATTCACGCCATGTCATTTTCTACTCGGAGCGGTTCACGTCCTCAGACTCGGGCTGCATCCCAAATCGCGTACTATGTGAGTAGGTACTATATTTAAATAAGAACGTGCTTCGCGACCGTTAAAAAAGTACGTTCTATGATTACGGGGAGTATGAATGAGTTCGGACGTACTACATGCGCCATGTTGTTGTCGCGTGACATACGCTGTCCCAACAGTGCGAAAATTTAAAGAGCCCATTCCAGTGACTGCACCAACTTCGCGCTGTTTTTAGTTCTGCTGTCTGTCTTCATCTCCGAGCCGACAATCGAGAGGAGCTGCTCGCGGATCACGCCTTTTGCGGAGTTTCTCAAATAACATTTACCTAATACATTTTACCTCATAAAACAACCCTATGAACAATGACAGATGTTAATTTGTGGCAAGGAAAAAGCCATTTATTTGCTTGTGATATTACCATCGATAAATAAACATGAATGAATCAATAGAGATATGTCTGTCTGTGTTCATCTCCTAACTTTACAGCCGCGTCTCCGGTTTCCGCCATTTTCAAATATAACGACAACAACTCTCTCCCGTGGCATCATGGGATAGTAAAATGTCCATCGTATGCGCACTTCAGAATCTCGCCGGAAGTAGTAGGTCATCCGGGTACTTTTCGCCTGCTGTTTTTCGAATTCTATGATTTCGGACATACTCTGCTCGCGTAGCTACTGTTTTTCGCATACTATATAGTAGGGAAGTATTTGATTTCGGAAGCAGCTTCAGAGTTTAATATTGCAAGAGAAACGTATCTCTATAAGTCTGAATCTGAGGAACGGCTCGAATTAGCATCTCTTATTCACAGTATTTATGTGATTATCAAAGCTAGCTTACTATTGCTAGCCTCTCTGAAATCGCCTACCTTACCTTTAAATCTTTATTTTTAAGCCTGTTTGCAATACCAGTATGTCCATTTCGATTTTTTGGCTTAAAAGTGTACATATACTATGTAAACGTTTTGAGATAGGGCCTTTGAGTGATGTAGGCATTTAATTGATTTGTTTTAATTGATAAATCTCGTTTTCACTACATTTACTTGTAGCCCTACAGCTACTTGTCAATCTATCGATGACTCATTGTATTGCCCAGCGCTAGCACTGCGGATGCTTTATTATTTGGTGAAGTTTTTACACTGCAACCCATTTAAAAGGCCGAGTACTTTTGCATTAAACAAAACTAAAGCTTTTAAAGCCCAATACCTGGAGTTTAAGCGGCACGTTTCCAGAGTCTACCCAGTAATTACGCTTCTGAAAGATGACCATTAGCATCTGTTTCCAAAACCATTTGCTGCATTTCTTAAATACAGTTTCCATTGTTTGTGATATTTCATTATTCTTCATTTCGAATAAGACATTCCATTAATGCCCTGGATTTTTTTTTTTTTTTTTGATGGCGTAATTATGTATTTGGATGGTCTATGCGTGGGAAGCTGCAGTGCAATTAACATTGGGAAGTTGGTGCATTTGGTGCCCATGGCTGTTTCATCTGTAAAGAGCTGTGTGTCATTTCCATGGCTGTACATGTTCAAATACTCTCTCTTAATGGATGCAACTCAACAGGGTCCTCCAGAAACACAGGGAACGCGCTCGGGCCAAATCACAACGAGGGGACGATGAGATGTACTTTTTATTGGGCCGTCTCGTGTTCATATTTGTAATTTATGTCTTAAATGGAGAAAGAAGGCGAGCGGACCTCAAACACACAATGCTGGAGACACATGCGGTGTGTGTTTATAACGTGGGAAGATAAATGCTCGCAAACGCCTTCAGAATCTGACATTAAATGGGAGACGCGTTGTAATTTCTTTCTCATTTGATTGTACATTTCCTTTTTATCTCAAATACCTGGAAGGTTGCCTCAGTGTTCATTAAAATGCAATTAATTCTGCAACTGTGCTGTTGATGTGTGCGAGTCTCCTTTACTTCGATATAGGTCAGAGCGTGGCAGCCGATACGGGCTAGTGTTGCTGAGTCATGCATCGACTGATGAAAGCTGATAATCACGAGGCTTTAGCTTCATCAAAACTCTCAGGTCACTTTTTATTTTACTATAAGCTCATCATTGTCACGGTGGGGGTGGCGCACATTTGTATTGCTCAGCACTGTGTTCATTACATTTTGTGCTTTACATTTTATTTATTCAAAATGATTGGGGTAATGAAGGTTTAAAATACAAATTAATTAATTATTCAAATAAACTTTGAGGTAATGACTTAAAATCAAGAATGAATGGCCAAGTGACTCTACATCTGTTAATGTATTAACTAAGAATGAACACTATTGTTACAATATTTATTAGTCAATGCTAATTCTTAAAAAAACAAGCATTCATAGTTAGTTCATGTCAGCTCAGGTACATGAAATAATATTAACAGATTTTAATTATTGTATTAGTAAATGTTGGAAATAACTAAGATTAATAAATGTTTTAGAAGTATTTTGGTAACTACAATAAGGTTTTAATTTATTAACATTAGTTAATGTATTAACTAACATGAATATTTTTTAAACGTTAACCTTTGCAGTTAATAAAAATTCAGCTGTTGATGCATGTGAATTAACGTGAACAAACAATGTTAACAAACACAACTTTTGATTTTTAATAATGTATTAGTAACCTTACTGTAAAATTACTATCAACATTTACTATTTTTGAAGATCAAACATTGTATCTGTTACCGTTAGTAAATGCACTACTAGCAAGCATGAACATGATTATTATTCAAAATAACAGGTTAATAAAATCTGCAAAAATGTATTGCTCATTTTTAGTTAGCTAAAGCATTAAGAAATAAAGTGTAACCACAAATTCCTCTAAATACATCCTCTATCTACTCAAATGTCTACAACAGAGCATAATGCAATGCTTGACCTTTCATGTCCATGTGATGAATTAATGGAAACATCAACTGTGATTTCTTTTCTTTCTTGACTTATTAAATCGGACTGCAACAGTTAAGATGTTTTTCACAAAATTGGATTAAGAATGCAATACTACCGTTTATTTTATAAATGATAAATGAATGTCCACGTAACCTGATTAGAACACATTGATTTTTATGTGCTTTGAGTCCATGAAGCACTAAGGTGCCAATGAAACTGATCTCTTCTTTGTGGTTTAGCGTTCAATAGAGAACATTTTGAGAATGTTTCCTTTCACACAGACGGCAGGCCTCGGTTTGCTGTCATCAGGTTTAGTATGATGAATGAGAAATTCACTTTCCTTTGTTTCTCAGTTTCAAACAAACAGAGACTGATATAAAACTCTTCCTTCCTCACATTGATCGCCTGGTGTGTTTTGTGTAAGTGAGCCTGTAGAACAATGTAGCCTATGTATGAGTGAGATCTTTGAATCTCACACAAAAAAACAGGACGAGTTGAGTATAAAAACTACACTGTAGTTATTGGGGTTTGTAAATATAGGGCCATCAAAGATCCACTTGTCCAAGCTTTAGCCAAGTAAAAGTTGCATAAAATTACACTATTATTAGGGCTGGTTTTGTGATCATCAGTACCAGCTTCCTGATTATCATGATGAATTTTGAAACAAAAACAAAACAAACAAAAATCAGGAGAAAAGGAAACAAAAAATAAAGATGCACTCCACGTAAATATATTCTAACATTAACTTCTTCATTTGCATTTGAATGAAAGTGAACCACACTTGCAGGTCAGTTTAGTCCCCACTTAGTGTTCACAGTAGCATTTTATCACCTAAACCTAAATATACCGAACCTAAAGGCGTGGGATGTGTGTTGGCTTTTATGACGTATATTTTGCAAAGGAACTTACCGAACATCCAAACAATGCTGTTTGCTGGGCGAAATGCGCTTGCATAGCACTAATGCTCAAAATAATTAATTGGTTTGAGTAGAGCTAACTCAAATTAAACAATTTGTTCAATCAAATTAACTTTTATGAGTATTTAGAACTTCCTTTTGTTTGGAGTTCACACAACTGATACATTTTAAGTAACCTGAATCTTTTTTCATTGTTTTGAGTTTTATGAACTTGTTTCTTTTAATTTAGTCAAACTTAATTTAACAGAATGTGGGCTGGGATTTCTATTTTGCAGCATACTTTGCCATGACACTCAAAAGGGAGAGTAAATGCTTTTTTTGAGCAAGATTAATGTTAAAGGGGAGGTTTAGTAGTGTTTAAGTGTTTAGTAGTGTCACAGTACCGATACATTTTTGAAACTTTTTCATGTGCAGAATATACAGTTCTGAAGTGCTTGAACATATAGCTGATGAAAATATCTCAGATGTTGACTTTTTGTGGAGTAATGAGGAAGATGGAGATGTAAGAAAAATATCCAAAACTTTATGAAGTAAAATAACTTCTGGCCAAAAGAACATATGGATTTGACTTAAATCTAAAGCGCTACTTAAATACAAATATTTTAAATATTCTATATCAATATATATTTCTTATGGATAGATGCACTTTTATGATGGATAGATGCACTTTTATGATGGATGGATGCACTTGTATCATGGATAGATGCACTTTACCTTTAACATTGCCTGGACATTGTTTAATATAACTCTGATTGTTTTCGTCTGAGAGAAGAATGTCATATACACCAGAATGGCTAGAGGCCAGGGAGACTAAATCATGGGCTAATTTAAATTTTTGGGTGAACTATTCCTTTAAAGGTATAGTTCAACCACAAATGATATTTGTCATCATTAACTCATTCTCATGTTGTTCCAAACCTGTATGAGTTTCATACCATTTTTATGTTGGACACCATCCCGCCTGCAATCTATTGAATGGGGTTTCGGGTAGTATATTTGAAATACATTTTAACTAAAGTTCCTGTCGTGATAAAAATTATTTTACTGCACTCAGCAGGCCCGCCGGGGTCCGTAGAAAAATTTCGACCCAAAAAAAAAAAACGACAGTGTTACTCCTTTCGTTTTTTTTTTTTTTTTGGTGCGAAAAAAAAAGTTTCTCCAATCTTCTAGAGGGCCGTGGGACTTACACCTGAGTGCAAAAATGGAGGCTTTAGACCCTTCCAGAGCTGAGATATTGAGTTATTTATGATGGCATAAATGCTACGTGGGATCTCAATATCTCAGCTCTGGACGGGTCTAGAGCCTCCATGTTTGCACTCAGGTGTAAGTCCTATGGCCCTCTATCAGAATCCAGAGTTTCAAGAAGATCAGAGAAACTCAAAATTTTGACCCAAAAAAAACCGACGGTGTTACCCCTTTCGTTTTTTTGTTTTTTTTTTTTGGTGCGAAAAAAAAAAATTCTCCAATCTTCTTGAAACTCTGGATTCTGATAGAGGGGCATGGGACTTACACCTGAGTGCAAAAATGGAGGCTCTAGACCCTTCCAGAGCAGAGATTGATTTATTTATAATGGCATAAATGATACGTGGGATCTCAATATCTCAGCTCTGGACGGGTCTAGAGCCTCCATGTTTGCACTCAGGTGTAAGTCCCATGGCCCTCTATCAGAATCCAGAGTTTCAAAAAGATCAGAGAAACTCAAAATTTTGACCCAAAAAAAAACGACAGTGTTACCCCTTTCATTTTTTTTTCGTTTTCGGGCGAAAAATTAAGTTTCTCCAATCTTCTCAAAACTCTGGATTCTGATAGAGGGCCATGAGACTTTCACCTGAGTGCAAAAATGGAGGATCTAGACCCTTCCAGAGCTGAGATATCAAAATTCAAAATTTCGACCCAAAAAAAAAACGACAGTGTTACCCCTTTCGTTTTTTTTTCATTTTTGGGCGAAAAATTAAGTTTCTCCAATCTTCTCAAAACTCTGGATTATGATAGAGGGCTGTGAGACTTTGACCTGAGTGAAAAAATGGAGGCTCTAGACCCTTCCAGAGCTGAGATATCAAAATTCAAAATTTCGACCGGAAAAAAAACGACAGTGTTACCCCTTTCGTTTTTTTTCGTTTTCGGCCGAAAAATTAAGTTTCTCCAATCTTCTCAAAACTCTGGATTATGATAGAGGGCTGTGAGACTTTGACCTGAGTGCAAAAATGGAGGCTCTAGACCCTTCCAGAGCTGAGATATCGAACCTCAAAATTTCGACCCGAAAAAAAAACGACAGTGTTACCCCTTTCGTTTTTTTTTTCGTTTTCGGCCAAAAAATTAAGTTTCTCCAATCTTCTCAAAACTCTGGATTATGATAGAGGGCTGTGAGACTTTGACCTGAGTGCAAAAATGGAGGCTCTAGACCCTTCCAGAGCTGAGATATTTAAATTCAAAATTTCGACCCGAAAAAAAAAACGACAGTGTTACCCCTTTCGTTTTTTTTCGTTTTCGGCCGAAAAATTAAGTTTCTCCAATCTTCTCAAAACTCTGGATTATGATAGAGGGCTGTGAGACTTTGACCTGAGTGCAAAAATGGAGGCTCTAGACCCTTCCAGAGCTGAGATATTGAAATTCAAAATTTCGACCCGAAAAAAAAAACGACAGTGTTACCCCTTTCGTTTTTTTTTGTTTTCGGCCGAAAAATTAAGTTTCTCCAATCTTCTCAAAACTCTGGATTATGATAGAGGGCTGTGAGACTTTGACCTGAGTGCAAAAATGGAGGCTCTAGACCCTTCAAGAGCTGAGATATCGAAACTCAAAATTTCAACCCGAAAAAAAAACGACAGTGTTACCCCTTACGTTTTTTTTTTTTCGGGCGAAAAATCAAGTTTCTCCAATCTTCTCAAAACTCTGGATTATGATAGAGGGCCGTGAGACTTTGACCTGAGCGCAAAAATGGAGGCTCTAGACCCTTCCAGGGCTGAGATATTGAAACTCAAAATTTCGACCCGAAAAAAAAACGACAGTGTTACCCCTTACGTTTTTTTTCGTTTTCGGGCGAAAAATCAAGTTTCTCCAATCTTCTCAAAACTCTGGATTATGATAGAGGGCCGTGAGACTTT